AGGAAGGAAGGAAGGAAGGAAGGAAGGAAGGAAGGAAGGAAGGAAGGAAGGAAGGAAGGAAGGTAGGTTGGTTTGATAAATAGATGATGGATGGTCTGGCATGTGGGAAAACTCAGAACTCTAACCTTGGGACCATATCTTTCAGATGATTACAGAGAGACTGAATATACCAGCTCCCTCTTCTCCGATTCCGAATAGATTTATAGCCTGGGATGGTGGCTAACCCGAGCAGGAAATCTGCCTCATCGGGAATACTGTTGCTCAGGTTCCACTTTTGAGGTACAGAGAATTCCTTGTCAGGATCCACAGCATCTGCTTCAATAAGTACAGAAGGTTGTAACCCTGAACCTTGACAGGCCTGGATGAAAAAGAGTTTGGGTTTGCCAACCAGACCAGGGCACTGCTGGGCTGTGAAGTAAGATGTGATCTCCTTAATAGAAGTCGGGGCTTCATCTGTGGAATAGACCACTCCATAGTCCCCATGGGTCAGGATACAGAACACAAAGCAGTCCACGTCAGCATGGTCCGGATGACTCTTATATTCCTGCAGGATCTCCTTCAAGGCTGCTTTAGTCACTTCATTATACACCTGTACTGCAAATCCAAGCCACTGGAACACACACTCCAGGCTCTCTGTCAACAAAGAAAAACATGGGGAAATTGAGGTGAATGAAATGATGGAGTGAAACAATGCTAACAAGCTGTAAAAACTGTGCAGCACATGGCCTGGAAGTTTGGATTTTTTTCACTTTTATAATAAGAAGAAAAACAGGCCCTAATCTGCTTTCTTGGTGTACGTACATTGCTGTTAAATGGTGTTGGTCACTTGGCAACACCCCTGAGAGTCAGCAGAGGTCAGAGCTTCATCTCTTCACAGGTGAGAAAGCTAAGGATTAGTGACTATTCCAGAGCAAGAGGTCAGCCTGAGGTTGGCCGTCCCAACCCAACCATACACTCACAAACCAGCTATGAATGGTCATTCCCTAATGGATTTCTGACTCTCCACTGATATTAAAGAGGCTCAGAAGAAAAGGTATGACATTTAAATTACTACCTAGCTTTTTAATCAAAGAGAAAATTTTAAAAAAGAAAAGCTAGAAATTTAAAAATAAATTTTAAGATTCCTAACTTGCACTTGACATATCTGCAACATATCTTAATTTTGGACCTATCTCCAAAGGAGATATCTCCTATCTTGGAGAGGGGGCAGCTGGAGTGCTCTTTGGAGGCAGAAGCAATGAGGCTTCACCTCACATACTTTGGGCATGTTGCTAGGAGGGGCTATTCCTCCGAGAAGAACATGATGCTGGGAAGGTGGAAGGTCAGCAAAGGAGAGGAAGACCCTCAACCATTGGGATTAACATGGTGACTGACGCAATGGGCTCTTGTGTGTCAGGAAGAGTGAGGATAGCGTAGGATAGAACAGAGTTCAGAGCTTTTGTTCATAGGGTCACTATGAGTCGTACTCAACTTGACAGTACCTAACAACAACAACAACAACATCCCGCCCTTGATAAATGATTTCAAACTATCTCACCAGCATCTCTATGAGTCCCTTCTCTGGGTAGTAATGATGAAAATGTGTAGTTGTTGACAATGACACAGTGCCCTCTGAATTTCCGATCCATCCTGTACACAGACGCCTCCTTAAAAACAAGATAGAACCACTTATTAGGGAATTGGAAATTGTAATCACCCGTATCACTGGGTCAGATTTGAAATACAGTAGGATGCACCTCAGTTTTGGGTTTTTTAAAAAATGAGTTTTAAACATAAATATGTAACCCTTGTAATATCCATGCCAGGCTATTTCTAGGATCACATATAGAAAGTCTATCAACTGTGTTTATTCAATGTACTCTTTTCACTGCTACACTGTGCCCTGAAAAGAATTACAGAAGTGTTTTTAACTTCTAGAGCCCAGAACATAAGATGTAGCCCATTTCACTGAAAGTCAGCCATTTAGCCATTTCCATTTTTTTCAGACTGCATAAACTCTTCCCGGACATCCCTCAGTCCCAGAGGCAATAAGTTCCCTAGATCCTGGTCCTGCACGGCAATTTCCTCATTCATTTCAGCACTGAATACCAATTTAAATTCAGAATTCATCTCATTTGGCTGAAGAATATTAGTTTTCACAGTTAATGGACAAACAGACAAATAAATTATAATATGTATTTTAGTATTGGTATACCCGGGGTCCAGGCAAGTGCCTTCTTTCATGCATTAGCAAAGTAAAGAAAGTTCAAGAAAGAATTTAACAAAACAACAAAAATTTAGGTTTGTGGAGGCATTTTAGATGGTAAGATTTCAGGGTAAATGAATTGTTCTAAAAATGGAATTTTCTTTTACAATTGTTTATGACTATTAAAATAATATACAACCTTGGCAGGAATATATGTTGTTGTTTACTTCCTACCCACTATGATCCACAACAACCTTAAGAAAAGCAGATAGAATCTTGTCCTACACTGTGTCATATAGGAATATGAATCAGAAGATTATCCATCTTTCTCCCATGAAATCACTGGTGGGTCTGACCCACCAGAGAGACACCACTTTAGAGCAGGCAGCACAGTTAACTCCTGTAGACTAGCCCATCAGAGTAAGAGAGACAAAGCTTTGTCTCACACACTTTGGGCGTATTGCTAGGAGAGGTTATTACTTGGAGAGGACATCATGCTTGGAAAGATGGAGACACAGCAAAGGAAAGGGAGACCTTCAACCAGAAGGGTTGACCAAGCAACTGCAGCAATGGATGCAAATGTGTCTAAAAGATGATGAGGAAAGCACAGGGTCGGACAGAGTTCAAATCTGGTATTTATAGGCTCATACGAGACTCAATGGCACCTAACAACAACAACAACTCGTATATGTACATATGTATGTATACATATTGATATCTATGTATATATATAAATGTATATGTGAATATCTTTCAACACTGTTGGCGAAGGAGAAGAAGACCCTTGACCAAGTGGACTGGCATGGTGAGTGTTGCAAATAGGCTCTAGTGTGTCTAGAAGTGTGAGGATGGTGATAGAATAGAGTTCAAATCTTTTGTTCACGGTGTGATGAGTCAACTCAATGACACCTAACAACAACAACAACAACATTGTAAACAGCTTCCAATTATAAATTAGCTGTGTTGGCTTCAGGAACTTCTATGTGGCTAAAATGATCTCTGAATGCATGCAGATCTTTGATCCAGCAAGTAAAAGAGGCAAGTTTCATGAATAAAAAAGAAACTTCTCCTCTGCCAGAAATGAACCAGAGGGTATGCCTAACTGAAAGGGTGGTGCTGTCCCTCCATAGCCAAGTTTACAGACTTTTTATTGTCACAGGTAAAAGCAGAGAGGAGAGTAATAATTACTGGGAGAGGATTGACGACACCATAAACAGTCCTGAGACCTCAGTGTTACTGAGGGCTGAATACTAGGCACGTAAAGAACCATCTGTTATGGGTTGAACTGTGCCCTTCCCCCCCAAAAAAAGACATACTTAATTCCTAACATGTGAATGTGACACTATTTGGAATGAGAGTCATTAAAGATATGCTATTGTTGTTGTTGGTTTTGGATACTGTCGAGTTGGAGCTGACACATAGCTGACCCTCCAGCAGGTTGTCAGAGGCAGTTGATCACATGGGAGGAGACTGCCCATCCTTCTCCTGAGGAGCAGCTGGTGGATTCGAACCGCGTGCCTTTGTTTGTACTGCAGCGCAGCTACTTGCCACTAGGCCACCAGTACCCCCTTAAAGATAGTAGAGTTAAGTTGATATGAAGGCTGAGCTAAGAAGGATGGGGATTAACCCAATATGAGTGGTATTCTCATAACAACAAGGAAAAAAAGAGACAGAGAAAGTTGGGGCAAGACAGTAATGGGAAGGTGTCAACGAATGCCAGCAGATGTCAGAACTACTCAAATGGCAAAAGACAAGAAAGGATCATCTTCAAGTGTCAGCATCATCTCCTAGTGCCAACTTCAATCTCTTACCGAAAGAAAGAACAGGCCCCCCGTTTCTCTTGAATTCAGACTCCCAGTTTCCAGGACCCTGAGACAACATATTTCTCGCCTGATAAGCCTCTCATTTCTAGTACTTTGTTGTGGTGACCCTCAGAAGTTAATGTACTATCCAAACCTTTGTGCTTTCAGGATTTGTGATGTCAGCAGATCCCCCCGACACTGCTGTGGAGACCAGGGGTAGTGCATCATTTGTGGCTCTGTCACCTGGAGAGAGAGATACTCAGGCTTTTCAAATATTGTTCCCCAAACACTCCTATTTCTGTCTAATCGTTTTCTGATTTAGCAGATTATTCTGGACAATTTTCTTTTTCCCAAGGCATCTCTGAGACATAAATTCAGCTGCCTTGTCTGTCCTGACAGGAGAGGTGGATGTCATTCATTGTGTTAGTTTTTACATAGTCAGGGTTGGAGGACACAGCTGACAGAGGAAGGGTTAGAAAATTAAGACCACATCAACCAGCTCCAGCTTCCTTGGTAGAAAACTTGTTTGGCTTAACCAGCATTTATCTGTCATACAGAAAAAGGCTGGCAAACACCAACAAAATAACAGAAAAAAATAAGGTTCAGAGACTCAATTTGGGTGGGGTAAGAAAAAAAAAATCCAAGCTACTGGGATGAGTTATTAGTAATACCTTTGGCATTGGCTGTGGATTACATTGATATATTCCCCAGTTCCTTGGACAAAGAGAGTAAGTGAGGGGTTAGTCACAAGGAAATGTATACAAAACTCTTTCTATCTGCCACTTACTACAACTTTTAGTAGAACTTGGAGAGCTCTGCCCTTGGCTCAAAGATCTGAGTTAATTATTAACTATGTTAAGCAACAGTCCTCATTTGCAGAGAACACACTAAATCAAAACCAGTTTGCATTTATGTTCAGTAACTGTCAATATCTCCTTGTGTTGGGAAGAAGGTAACTTTCCACAGAACCCAGACCTAAACTTTGGAATCACAGACTAACGAAGCTGGAAGAAATTCCTTTATTCTTCAGAAAAGTAAAGCCCTTGATGGAGTGCACATAGCTACAGGTTTTAGATTCAAATCTCAACTCCACCCCTTTCTAGCTTTGAGACTTCAGTCAAGTATTCTTCATGGGTGGCAGTTTCCTCTTCAACAACCGGGAATAGTAAATCATAACTAGAATAGAATGATAATTGCTGATCTATCTCCAAGTAGTTAATAGGAGAATCAGATAAGATCATTCTAGCACACAGCAGCGTTCAGTATGTGGTAACTCTCATCAATATCCTATCGTTCCACTTAGCACTTATTCACCAGCAACTTAGTCCAGCAACAGATTCTGGAATGTGTTGCTAGGTGATGGGTTCAGGGGAAAGTTCAGTCATTAAATACACCATTGTCAAGTCCTTCACTGTTGCTTTTCTCATCAGAATCGAGCACTCCATAGAGGACACTCTTATAGGCTGCATATTCCACTCTGTCACTTCCAGTCTGGAGGTTTTAGAGGAGGACTCCTTCCCTCTTCTGCTCCTGAAGGTAGTGGGAGAGGAGGCCCCTACATTCTTCAATGCCGCTAGTTTAGACTGTCCCCCGAGAAACCTCCTAGCTCTCTCCATCTCCTCATAGAAAAGCCTAGTATATTCATAAATCTATTGCTGTTGTTGTTAGGTACTGCTGAGTTGAGCATGACTTGTAGGAACATTATGAACAACATATCTTGTCCTATCCTGTGCCATTCTCATCATTTCTGACATATTTGTGTCCATTACAGTCACTATGTCAACTGATCTCATTAGAGGCCTTCCTCTCTTTCACTGACCCTCTACCTTTGCAAGCATGATATCCCTTTCCAAAGAATAGCCTCACCTAGTAATATGTCCAAAGTTTTAAAGATGAAGCCTCGCGTATGTGCTAACCCCAAATTTGTATAAAAACTTGAAGTCCTCTCCAAAATAATGTCAACTGGTTTGTTGTTGTTATGAGTCATCAAGTCGACTCTGACTCATAGCAACCCTACATATACCAGCTCTGAACACTGCTCTATCTTGAACCAATTTCATTGTCTCTGACATACCTACCACTATAACCCCAGTCACTAGTATATATCAAGTCTACCTATTCCTACCATACTGATGATCCAAGGCATCAAAGGTGTGGGACAAACACTTACCGTTACGGTTTTGCTGCTCATTTTCCCAGGGCTCCATCTGCTAAAGAAATGGAAAATGCAGAAAATTCACGCCATCAGGATAAGGGCAACAATTTCAATTTGACTCTAAGAAAGGTGAATGTGTAATCCCCAGAGAAAAGAAACTCCATTGTGAAGAGGTAGGAAGAGAATCAGCTCCCTCCTTTCAGAGAAGAGAGTCCACCTCTGAAAAAAATATAGCATGTCATATCCACAAGAATATTTATTCATTGTGATGTTATTTGGAATGACTACTGTTGTTGTTGTTGTTATGTGCTGTCGAGTCACCTGAGACTCATAGCAACCCTATGTACAATAGCCCTAAACTCTGTCCTATCCTGTGCCAATCTCACTGTCTCCAATACACCTACCCCCATTACCCCAGTCACTGAATCAGTCCACTTCATAGTCTTCCCCTCCTACGATGTCCCTTTACTCCCCCAAGCTTGACATCCTTCTCCAAGGACTGGTTCCAAAGTATGTCAGATGAAGCTTCAGAATCCTTGCCTCTAAGGAGCAGCCTAGTTTAACACTGTCCAGGATGAACTTGTTTGTTTTCTTAGCAGCCCATGGTATATTCAATACTATTCTCCAACACCACAGCTCAAAGGCGTCAATTCTCCTTCTGTCTTCCCTAATCATTGTCCAACCCTCTGATGCATAGCAATTGATTGCAAAAGACCATGGCCTGAAGCAGGCACACCTTAGTATCTAGAGTGACACCATTGCTCTTCAGTACTCTGGAGAGGTCCCTGATAGCAGACTTTCCCATCGCAATACATCTTTTAATTTCCTGGCTGCTGGTGCAGTGTTGACTGTGGAACTAGGCAAACTATAGCTGTGAACAATCTCAATCTCTTCACCATCCATCCAGATGCTGCCAATTGGCCCCGTGGTGAGAATCTTTGTCTTCTTGACATTGAGCCTCAATCCATATCGAAGGCTGCAGTCCTTGACCTTCAGAATGGCTAGAGACTGGAAATAATGCTAATGTCTTTCAGTATGGAATGGCTGAAAGTCACTGTTACATAATACAGTGGAATGGGATGTAGAAGACAAACTCTTAACATTTATATGGAGTGATTGCAGAAGAAAACTGGGGAATTTTAATGTTCTACCTTTCTAGAAGGAAGGGTTTTTTCCAGTAATAAGACAAATGATGATTTTTCAAAATGCTCATAAAAATGGTCATTGGGAAAGGAGAAACACTGAACCAGCACACAATCAAACTTCTCTGAGTGTCGTGTAGTTACAGTTTTCACTTTTGACCTTTTATAAATATTTTATATAATTAAAATAGAAATTGAATACAAGATCTTTCGTATTCTTGCCTTTCAGTATACCATTCTCCCTACTCTGATCCCTGCCCCTTATTAGCCTTAGAGCAGAAAGTTCAAAGGAGATATGGCCATGGTGGTCTAGAGAGTGACTGGCCCACACCACTAACTGACACTGTGGGCTTTTTATAAAGTGTCTTCCATATCACTTAAGTCACCAGGTATGTAAACTCTGCTGAATCCTCAAGCTCTGTGACTAGAAGCAGATCAAAACTGCAGCATCCTCAATCCCAGGGCTGCACAATACCAGAATTCTTTAGCTCTGCAGAAACAAATGTGAAGGAAGTTCAGTTTTGATTTGCAAAATGCTGGCTGCCTGTCTTTGCCTTTCCTTTGGAATCCAGAATCTTATTCATTTTATTGAGATGGGTTTGAAAGTAGTTGTGCAAATTTTCTGGGATTAAGAGTATCCAAGATGTATCATCTGCAGGAAGTAGATTTCCTTGACTTTTCTTCTTCTTTGGGATTATGAAATCAGGATGAACAAGAACAATGAAGCCTTAAGGTTCATATGCTCCTCTTTACCTGAAGGGTTTGCATCTTCTGATGACATTCCACTCTCATCAGAGAAGAATGAACAAATGGATGAATGAATGACCCACAGCCTAACCACACTCAGTCTTCTTCAGAGTGTTTTCAGGAAAGAATGCCATGTATCTAAGAATCAGGACCAAATTAGAAGAAATGGACTACAAATTCTCTCAATGTTTTCATGCAGCTCGTCATAGTAGGGTGCCATACCAGCTTTCTCGAGTCTTGCTCTCTGGAGTAAGTCAGCTATATAATGTCCAGGGTTTGCCTCTCTGAGCACCACCATGGTGGTTGGCAAGAACAAGCACCTTACAAAAGATGGAAAAAAGGAGCCAAGAAGAAAGTGGTTGATCCATTTTCTAAGAAAGATTACTGCGATGTAAAGGCACCAGCTACGTTCAATATAAGAAATATAGGGAAGACTCTAGCCACGAGGACTCAGGGTCGTGTTCTTGAAGTATCGCTGATTTGCAAAATGATGAGGTTGTGTTTAGAAAATTCAAGATAATTACGGAGGATGTTCAAGGCAAAAACTGCCTCACAACCTTCCCTGGCATGGATCTTACTCACGCCAAAATGTGGTCATGGCTCATGGTCAAAAAATGACAGACCGTTTGGAAAAATATCTGCAAAAGACTCAAGCAAGACCCACACCTCACTCCATACACAAAAACCAACTCAAGGTACATCATGGACCTAGGACTAAAACCAAGGACTATAAACTTCATTACAGAAAAGCTAGGAACAACACTAGAAGTCCTAATCCACAAC